TTCTACAATCTCACACTCTTGTTATCACACTTTACACCCTCTAAGTGTTGGCCTAACCCATATCCTCTTCCTCAAGTGCTCGGATTGACAACCTCTCTCTAGGCTTTACAACCGATGCCACTCCTTTTGGAATCGACCCTGTCTCTCACCAACCACTCCTCTCGGTGTACAAGTGTATTACAAAGTGTATCTCATAATGAAGGCACAAATACAATGTTCGTTCTCTATAACAAGATGAGAACAAAGTGTAAGCTCACTCTTAATGTCATAATCTCACAACCCCAAATTATACTATATATGAAATACTATAAGCTCAATAGGTTGTGTGTGAACAATGAGATAAATCAAAACTAAACTCAATGTAATTCTAGCTAATGGAAATTATAATCAAAACAAATAAATAGCTAGAAACGAGTTTAGAAAACTTCTCCAATGGATGACAAGAGAGAGAGGGAGATGAATTGAAACTTAAACACCAAAGATTATCTCCTCAAGCCCTTGTGAAAATATCTTCACAAAACAAACTCTTAAACACACTTAGAAACCATTAAACAAACTTATAAAACTCTTTAAAAATTTTCTCTTGGTGGTTCTCAGAAGTTAGAGGGCAAGGGGTATATATAGGATGAAGAAACAACCCCTAAAAACCCAAGAAAACCAACCAAAAAGACAAAATAATGGCTACATAGAAAACTAGAAAATCTAGCCGTTATGAGGTTGTCGGTCGACTGGAAATGTACATCAGTCGACTGATGACCTCGACAGAAGAAAAACAGACAGTTTTAGAGTGCTAGAATTTTATGTATCTTGTTTTGTAAAATTAATTAAAAATAGTAAATCAAATCCAAAAATCATGATATTTTGAGAAAGGTCTATAGACATGTAGATAAACATGTTAGAGAAATAATTTATGAAATATCACCTCTCAGTTAAGAGAAATAATTATTTGAACACAGATATTATAGTTTCTAAAAACTGCTGAAACATCCGACTTTGTAAAATCAATTTGACACAGTAAATCAACTCCAAAAATAATGATATTTTTAGGGAAGGTTCTAGACATGTAGATAAACATGTTAGAGAAAGAATTTTATAAATATAACTTCCCATTTTAGAAAAATAAATTATTTTGTAAACTGATCAAAAACTAAAAATCTGGAAACTGTAACAGGTCATTGGTCGACACATCAGTCGACACATTAGTCGACTGATCAGTCGACTAAAAAAAAGCAGAGAGAAAATTAAGATTCTAGGCACATTTATCAGTCAATTGATCAGTCGACTGAAATCATCAGTCGACTGATCAATCGACTAAAATCATCAGTCGACTGATAACACACTACCAGCCTGTTTAAAACTGAAAAACTAATTTTTGAAGTGCCTTTAAAAATAGCAAATAAATTCCAAAAATTATGAAACTTTGGAAAATGTTTATAAACATGTAAATAAACATGTTACAAAAATAATTTTTAGAATTACACTTTATATTTATAAAATATCATCATTTTTTAAAATAGTCCAAAACATGAAAACTAAACATACATGTTTTTGTCATTTGACATAAACACAATATTAAAACTTTTGTAAAATAATTTTATAGACTTAATGAATTGATATAAAATATTGTTATGAAGTTCATAAACAAATAATTTAATATTTTCACAAATTTATTTTTGTATAAACTTAAAAACTATAAAACCAATATATATATATATATATATGATTGAGCTTAAAGTAGTATATATATATATATACCAATAAAATGTGTGTGTATGTAATTGAGCTTAAAATACTAACACACATAATATAAAACCTAAAACTAGATATACCCAAGCTTGTGATCTTCAATGAAGCTCTTCTTGGTACACTTGCGGATGAAGCTTGGACTTGGATCTTCAAATTAAATTGTAAGGTTTCACTCCACTTTTCCTCCAACCTCCATTGAATATGATCGTGAATACTTGATTCCATCCATCCTCCAACATGTTGTTTATCTACAATAAATAGATAAACACAAAATACTAGACAAATAATATTAGTAGTAAATTATTTGTTAAACATCATCAAAATAAAGAGGCCAATGATCTTCCCCTTTTTGATGATGACAAATAATTTACAAAAAAGATATATGCATGAAAGGAAATGAATATACAATATTATAATTAACATGCATATAAACAAAAAGAATATACTCATAATATATTTTTCCCCCTTTGAAAACATCAAAAAGGAAAAACCAACAAGAAAGAAGAGAGCGAAAGCTCCCCCTACCTATAAGCATGGGTGAGTATAAAACAAGTATAGGGATTGCTCCCCCTATCAAAATACCTCATAAATGTATGAAATGAAGGATAAGGCACACATGTGAGTTAGCATAGATAAAAACATGTAAAAATTACTCACATATATCAAGATAAAGAGAACATATGTGGATGTATCATTGAAATGGTGTGTCTCAAAACATAAAAATAAAGATCATGTATAAAAATAGATTTGTGAAATCAAAAGAACGGTAAATGTGAGGATCACGAAAAAAGAGTTTTCAAATAAAAAGAAATCACTTAAATAAAATCATAAATCAAGATTTTAAGTCCAAGAACAATCTTTGATCAATAAAGAAAGCTTTCTTTGTAGAACTTGATCAAACCACATAAAGAATACATTAGAAAGCATATTTGAAATTTGAATCATCTATTTATGCTTATATAATGAATTCAAAAGAACAAATCAAAGAAAAATTTTCATAGTTCAAAAGTAATATACAAGAATCATGAATTATGGATTTTAAAAAACTAAAAATCATCTTTAAGAGTATAAAACCAAACCATCATTGATTTTCACAAATGAGAGAGGCAACCATATCAAGCTCTTGAGCTTGTTTCAACCCATATAAATATTTTTAACACCCGGTAAACAAGGTTTAGGACTAAACACCCAATAAATATGGGGGTTATATAAACACAAACCTCTCATCAAAAGAGAAACTAATAATCATGAAAACAAAGGAGTTGATCAAAGAAAAATTATTTTCATATTAAAAGTTTTCAAAGCACATTTTACAAAACCAAGAAAAAGAAAAATAAAAACACTAACATTCTTGGTTTAAAAATTATTTCGGCACTCAAGCATTCTTGGTGCCAGATTGTTTAGGAATATGACCCCTATCAATAAAGCTTAAAGCCCTAGGGTTATGAACCCTCTTGGGCATATGTGGTGCACTAACATGATCAAAGTAATATTCACTCAAATGATCCTTCTGATTATAATATGTGCAATAAAAGAGATCCATTTGTTATTGTGGACCAATAGCTCGTGCACGGGAACCATTTGCAAATAAATATTTTTCTTTTAAATTGTTTTGCAAATGAGAAACTCTCTTCAAATCAAAACAAAATTTGGTCAAATGATCAAAACGACCACATAGATCACATTTAAACATATTTGCATGCTTATGATGAACTTTGTGAGAATGAGCATGTGAATGTGTATGTGTACATGATGATGAAGAAGTATTAACATTCTTAGATTTGTGTGCATCATAGCAAAATTTAGCAATGTGGCATTTTCGGCTGTAAATAGAACACTTATAAACTTTTCTATACATGTGAGCATAATGAGTGGATGATTTTGACTTAGACTTGGCACACATATCCATAAGCTTCTTATGATTATTAATACATATTTTTAAAGTTGAATCTAAAGATGAAATGTGCTTATTCACAAGATTCAAATCTTCATTATTAGGCACATATGCATTTTTATTAGAAGTAGAACATATATAGTAGGCACATATGCATTTTTATTAGAAGTAGAACATATATAGTCATTTATAAAAGAAGCAGTATCATTTTTTATGTTCTCTAAGAAGTAGAACATATATAGTCATTTATAAAAGAAGCAGTATCATTTTTTATGTTCTCTACTTCTAACATAGCATCAACCTTAGTATGAGATAGGCTAGCAATTGATGAGGTTAATTTTTTATTTTCCAAATTTAATAAGTCATTGTTTTCTTTAAGCACAGTATTTTCTTTTGCAATGATATTAAATTTGGACACTAGCTTCTCATGATCGGATTTTAAAACTACATGCTTTCTTTGTAAATCAATAAAATCTTTATGCAGTTTGTTATAGGCATGCAATAATTTCTCGGAAGCACAAGCAAGTTCATCATTACATAAATCATTAATGGATTTGAACTCACAAACCTCACTAGGGCTATTGCCTAGTGCGCGTGTGCAAGATGCTTCTTTTGAACTAGAAGTGGTATCTTCCAAAGCTTGTTGGATTGCCTCTAAGTCCCCTTGATATGCTGTAATAAATTTTTATAAGGTGTAAACACTATCAAAATGAACGAACTTGTTAGACATAGATTAATCAAAAGCATTTAGAAAATATTCTAACAAAATTTTGTTCATTGTAAACATTCGATGATCAATTTTATTCCAGTTGGATTTCTCTGAAGTGGACACAATATAAGCATCATCTATAATTTCTCATAAATTAAAGTGTCTAGATCGAACAAAAAGTTTAAATCTAACACACCATTGGGCATAGGGGAAATTATCCAAACGATGAGCAATATTAATGACATAACCTGAACTAGGTGTACGGTGCATATCCATAATGAATATATATGTGCAAGTAAGATAACAATAAAATCACAAAACTAGATTAGCACAAAAATGAGATAACTTGGATCTTTAACTCAAGGTGATTAGACCTTAAATCAAAGAGCACCAAGCTATAATACCAATTTTTAGACCCTAGAAAGGGGTGATTAGGGACTTATGCTAATCTAATCCGATTTATGCCGATTTAAAACTAATTCAAATATTATTCCGGTAAGATAGATATACAATATGTTATGAGCAAGAATATGCAATATGAACAAATGGTAATATTCTAACAATGATGCTGACCGTTGGATCTGAGTTACTAACAGCTGTCCCCAACTCTATCAAATCTCAACCCGTGCAACTCTCTCTCTCAACCCGTGATCCAATCCCCCAAAATATCTCACAGTAACCAAGGCCCTCCTCTTCTTCATCTTCAACTCTTCAACCTCCAGGATCTGAAGTCGATCTCTCTCTCGCCTCCTCTTCTTCAACTCCCACCTCCAGGATCTCTCAAATTCGAAAGAAAGCTCAAGAACTCGATCCCTCTCTCAACCCGTGATCCCCTCCCCCAACGGCTCACACGATTAACCGAGGGTTCGTCGACTTCATCTTCATCCTCCAGGATCTCATTTGTGGAAGCTAAAAAAATTTCGAAATAAAATTGACGGGCTCAGCGAAATCCCACGCCCTCTTCTTGGTAAATTTCCTTGTATATTCTGAATTTTGATGCTATTAAATTTCTTGATATTCTGCATTTTCTCTTCTTGGTAAATTTCCTTGTATATTCTGAATTTTGATGCTATTAAATTTCTTGATATTCTGCATTTTCATGCTAATAATTTTCCTGATATTCTGAATTTTCATGCTAATAATTTTCCTCATATAGGTATTTTTATGCTAATAATTTCCTTGCTATTTTCATGCAATTTAGGTTTACCATTAAATTGACATGATCACTTGATTTTTAGTTTTTTTTTAACACGGATTGAGTTTAATTTGTTATTTTCATCCATACTATCGTAACCCATTTAGTTTCTCTACCAAGTTGAATGAGAAAGATTTTGGCTCTTTTGAATGTGAAAATTGGAAGTAGTGTATATTATGATCATAAATTAGTATCCATTATCATCATAAAGTTCTGGATCTTTTTCGTAGGTTGTGATGGTAAAGTTTTGATTTTTTTTAATTTTTTTTGTGTTAACTGAGATTATAAAGTCATGCATTTTTTATCCAATTTGTGTTAACGGTGATGAAATATGCATATGTATTGGCAAAACGTTTCTATGACTGCATTTTTTATCCAATTTGTGTTAACGGTGATGAAATATGCATATGTATTGGCAAAACGTTTCTATGACAAACAGAAGGAAATATGCAATGTATTGGGTGATGAAATATGCATATGTATTGGCAAAACGTTTCTATGACAAACAGAAGGAAATATGCAATGTATTGGCAAAAAATTTCTATGACCGACAGAAGGAAATAGTTAAGCTTGAGGGGGAGGGGTTTTTTTTAGTTGGGGTGGGGTGTGTTGGGGGGCGGGGGGCATTACAAGATGTATTTGTTGACACTCACGTTAGAATAGCTCCATGGACTATGGGCACCAATGAACTACACTAAATAGAATGTAATTTAATTCTGATTGTACTACACTAAATAAGACCACCAATGAACTATTAAACATGTAAATGCAATTGAGGTTTACCTATGTACATAAATTGGATTACGTTGTGAGTAGATGACATCGGGTACTTACACAATCCTTTTACAGTGATATCCATTTGTTTGTGGTATGTTTTTTGCAGATAAAAGATGAAGAACTTTTCGGAAGAGTTCAGTGGAGAAGAAGATGAGGGTTTAGTACAAAGAAGATGTTATTGTGGGTTAATTTGCAACATATCAGTGGATGACTAATGTAAACGAATGTTCAATATTGATATGGTTATATGTTATGGTTCAGTTGTTATGGTTCACTTGTGATGTATGTTTGGCATGTGTGAGTGTGGTGGTTGCTATCAATTGATTGTGTATTACATGTGCTGGTCAATCTTTATGAAAGTTCTGGTCAGAAGCGTATTTATGTTGCTATCAATTGATTGTGTATTACAATTGTTGTCTACTTTGTGTTCTCTTAGTGCTCACACTCTTTGCAGACAAGTTTTCAAGCAGCCCATCTGACATTTCAAAGGATTTGGGGATGTCTGTTTCAGATTTGAGGTTATCGGGGAGAATTCTATTGTATTTAAATGCAAAACTGAGCCTAATAATGCTCCTCTTGCAAAAGTTTAATCTTTACCTAAAGTAAATAAATAAAGAATTGATGTGATAGTGAAAAAGCCATTGAGCCAGTTCCGTAAGTGCCAGTCCATTTTGAGGGCAATAGTTAGCAATAGGGTAGTATAATGATTGATGATGAGCCCCAACCTCATTCGGATCAGCTCAAGTTATCTCAACATCATGCACATCCGAATCAAACAAAAGAGAGTACATAGATGAACGCCAACCTTACTTGGATCAGCTCAAGTTATTGATCTCAACATCATGCTCATCCGAATCAAACAAAAGACAAAGAACATAATTTCAGCTACACATTCCTGTAATGTAATAACTCTCATGGAGCATATATAGTTCAGGTTTGTGCTTCCTCGATCTTTTCTTGTGATCACCAATATAAAAACTGGAGGCTCTTTCGCCCAACTCATTCCTGTTCGTCATCGAAATAGCCTGCACTGCAAGTAGAGGAAGCAAAACTGAAACAACTTTTGTTATTGACTTCAAATTCTAACATCAAAGACTCTCAGTATGATAAAATGCTTCAACTCCCACAGTTTCAAAAGTACAATTGTCTCTTTCATATTCCTTAAAGTACAAAGAAATTGCTATAACCCAATATTTGTGGAAAGGGAGCAAACAATTACACAGATAACAGTACCACAAAAGGATTTTCCTAGTATTTGCCGTCATAATCAACACCGAACTTGTATAGTACTTATGATACTCAAAAACAAGACGCAATTGTTCATTACCATAGTACTTATGATACTCAAAAACAAGACGCAATTGCTCAAAACATTGGATCAGATACTGAGAGTCTTTAAAACATTGGATCAGATACTGAAGGACAATCTGCAAAAAAAGGATCACGAATTACCCATTTGCTCAATCACACCTCAAAAACACATATACATAACAATGATCACGAATTCTCACCAATAGTGCTATGATTTGCTCTACCAACCTTGATCAAACTTCATGCAATAGTGAGAACTTCATCTGTATTTAAAAAAATACAAAAACAAAGTGCTTCATCACATTAAAAAAATCAAATTATATAAAAAAATAGCAATGTACAAGTAATTCAGTATGTATTGACCATTACCTTCCTCACAGGAATCTTCTAAATCATCACTGGCTTCATCAATATTATCTTGTTCCATTGAATCACTAAAAAAATTGATGATAACAAAGCATATTAAAGATCATTGCACAAACTTTAAAAAAAAATTAAAAAAATAATAGCATTTGTATTACTAAAACAAATGACACACTACCTTGACAACTTTAGAGGGCAATTTCTGCTATCATGATTTTGTCCTCTCTTTCCACATAATTTGCATTTCCTAGGCCGGCATTTGCGGATCTCTCTCGATGGCTTTAACCTCTTCCCTTTAGGCCTTCCTTTTGTTCTTGCTTGACTTGGTTCATGAACCATATTTTGAGAACACTCCGCATTCATATAATGTGCTTCCACATCTTGTCCAATTTCTTCATCAGTGACGAGTTTCAAACGTTGCACCTTATTAATAGCATCCATCATCATTTCACGCATTAATTCATATGCGTCATTAGAAGATAGCCCCTCTTTGACCATTTCATTAGCTAAGCAATTTAGTTCACTAAAACGAGAAGCAAAATTAATTGTGGCATTATCTCCAATGATATTACCATCTCTAAGAACAATCCTTTTTTTGACATTTCGGCACCATCTTCTTAGAATATATTGCTCCGGTAACTCACCATGATTGGTGATTTTAAGATATGCCAAGATATGTCGGCATGGAATGCCCTTGAATTCAAACATGAGACACGAACAACGGACCATTTTAGTTGTCACAAAATCATGAAGTGAATTTTTCCTTGATACATGCATTTTTAGCAACGCATTCATCCCTTCACTTCTTTGACTGCTAGACATTCCAGCCCAAAAGTGTTGTTTATGATAAACCGGAGCCCATTTTTCACGAATTTCATAGATATCTTTTAGCCAATCATGCGTTTCCAATCCATTTTTGTTAAGAATTGAAACCCAATTCTCTTCAAAAGAGCTAGCAGTCTCGGAGTCCCAAATATTTTCTTTGAAAGATTTCATAAATTCCATTCTATAAGCCCATTTACCCAACTTCTCCGGAACTTTGTCCAAGATATGCCAAATGCAAAACCTGTGCCGAATTTCTGGAAAAACTGTTTCAATTGCCTTGCATATGCCAAGACATTGATCTGTAATCATGCCCGAAGGAGGATGACCCATTGCTTCAATCCATTTGTTAAACAACCATACAAAAGACTTCGCCTCTTCTTTGGGAAAAAAGCCACATCCTAAAAAAACACTTTGCCAATGGTGATTTATGCCTACAAACGGCACAAATACCAAGCCATATTGATTTGTGTTATGCGTGGCATCAAAGGAGACAACATCGCCAAAGTGTTGATAATTCATTCTAGCAATGCCATCCACCCAAAAACAATGAGTTAAGCGCTTCTCTTCATCAACTTCATAAACATAATAAAATGAAGGATTCTTCTCTTGTTCCGACTTGAAATGATCCAACATCATTTGTGCATCATGACCGCGCCTCTCCTCTCTCAAATCTCTTTCATAATTTCTCACATCGGTCTCAATGCATCCAATTCTATGAAAACCTCCGCTAGAGTTTTCAAAGAAGGCCATTTGCTTGTTTGTTGGAATGTTCACCTCTCCAAACTGCTTTATCAATGTCTTCTTCGCACTTGTTACCTCACGGTTTCCCCTTAGAAAATGAGTTCTACTCGGTGAAGTAATTGTATGATTATGTTCTTCCACAAACTTGTAGACACTCCATATGCCAATATTTTTGTCTAATTTCAAGCGAATCAAGGCCTTACAATTTGTTCTAATTGTACCACATCGTCGAAAATCCAACGATTTGCTCTTTAACACTCCTTCTTTCGAACAAACATAACTTTTGCAAATTAACTCTCTATCCTTCCCATAATTTGTTGTGCTATTACGGATATCAAAACCTCCGACCTTTCCGTAATTTCTGTAGAATTTTTCAGCATCTTCTAAACTGTCGAAAGTCATTCCTATTTTTGGTTTTAAGTGCTCATCAACAATTGGCACAACTAAGTTATCTAACTGGGATATTTGTTCATCAAAAACATGGGAGCAACCATCTTCAGTTTCCATCAAGAATAATTTTTACCTACAAAAATAAACATTAAGAACAAACATCAAGAACAATCCATCAAAGACCCACTGTTGCATCAAAAAATAAACAAATGAATCCATGTTACATATACAATATTGACAGTAAACAGTAAACAGTAAACAGCCGCAAATTGGATTATTTGACAGTTACATATGATATTTGACAGTAAACATGCTTCTAATATATTATTGACAGTAACAGTAAACAGGCCGCAAATTGATTATTTGACAGTTACATATGATGCTATTTTTACATATGCAAACTAAAGTTACAACAACTTAAATTCGTGTGAGCTACAATATGTCAGAAACCAATTCCTCCAACACTGTTTTTACACATGGTCAGGCTCAAATTCTGCCAGCACTGCTGATGAGCTTGTTGAGCTTGTTCAATGGCACAAATTGGACAAAATGGACAATATAGATTTAAATCTAAAGGTCCGGCCTTCGAGACATTTTGATAACTTTGTGTTAGCACGAGCTACAACTTGTTAATCTGTTACATTGCATTATAGCACTTAATTTTTAAGGATTATATATTAGACATCTTTTGATGTGAATATAATTAGGTTCAGATGATCTTCGAAATCCTTAATAAATCATTTGAATCCAAATAGTTGGCAGAGAGACCATCAGGAGGTTTCACTAATGCAATTGGAATTTTGGTCTTTGTAAAAAAAGCCAAAAATTGTGGATTAAAGTTCACGAATTTGAGAAATTAACTTGATAGTAGAGGTCGACGCGAGATCACGGGGTGAAAACCGGTGGCGACTTGGCTCCGACGGGGGTGAAGAACGGCGGCGATGTGAGAGGGGGCGGAGGACGAGGTCGGAGTCGTTGAACGCGGGAGACGAGGTTTTGTCGAGCTCGACGTTGAGATCCCCGATGAAGGCTGAAGGCGGAGAGTTCCAAATTCGGCGAGGGATTTGGGTTGAAGGAGAGGGATTTTGGTTCTGGAGAGGGATTTTTCTCTTTCTGGTACAGGGAAGAGAGATGGTGGTAGTAACTTGGAATTTGAAAAAACGGATCCAATGGTCACTGTTCGCCGTACCCCAAATCCCAACGGCTCACACAGATTTTCGCACTGTTATTGGTGCGAAACACTGTTCGCACCAGAAAACTTCTATATATATATATATATATATATATATATATATATATATATATAAATAATAATATATATTATAATATATATATATAATATATATATATATATAATAATATATATGAGATATATGTGTGAGGATATGAAACTAAGGGTGATATAAACATAAACAAGATAGTGGTCACTATGAGCAATAGATAATGGTGACAAGAATAAAATGAACAATAAGCATAACTGAGACGCCAAGGCAATCACAAACACACAAAGATGATCACGGAGTTTAGACCTCCCATCCTACGTCTCCGCTCCCCACTCGCGGGGAGAAATCCACTATCACACCATGTTTTCTACACTTATCCGAAAAATATTTACAACTCACAATACGGTTTTATAGCTAACTAAAAACTCTACAATCTCACACTCTTGTAATCATACTTTACACCCTCTAAGTGTTGGCTTAGCTTGTATCCTCTTCCTCAAGTGCTCAGATTTACAACCTCTCTCTAGGCTTTACAACCGATGTCACTCCTCTTGGAATCGACCTCGTCTCTCACTAATCACTTCTTTTGGTGTACAAGTGTATTACAAAGTGTATCTCATAATGAAGGAACAAATACAATGTTTGTTCTCTAATACAAGATGATAACTAAGTGTAAGCTCACTCTCAATGTCACAATCCCACAACCCCAAATTATACTATGTATAAAATACTATAAGCTCAATAGATTGTGTGTGAACAATAAGATAAATCAAAACTAAAGTCAATGTAATTCTAGCTAATGGAATTTATAATCAAAAAAATTAAATAGCTAGAAAAGAGTTTAGAAAACTTCTCCAATTGATGACAAGAGAGAGGGAGATGAATTGAAGCTTAAACACCAAAAATTATCTCTTCAAGCCCTTGTGAAAATATCTTCACAAAACAAAATCTTAAACACACTTAGAAACCCTTAAACAAACTTGTAAAACTCTTTAAAAAAATTCTTTTGGTGGTTCTCAGAAGTTAGAGGGCAAGGGATATATATAGGATGAAGAAATAACCCCCAAAAACCCAAGAAAACCAAGCAAAAATACAAAATAATAGCTACATAGAAAACTAGAAAATCTAACCGTTATGAGGTTGTCTGTTGACTGAAAATGTACATCAGTCAACTGATGACCTCGACAGAAGAAAGACGGACAGTTTCAAAGGGCTGAAATTTTATGTATCTGATTTTGTAAAATCAATTAAACATAGTAAATCAAATTCAAAAATCATGCAATTTTGAGAGAAGTATCTAAACATGTAGATAAATATGTTAGAGAAAGAATTTATAAAATATCACTTTCCAGTTGATATAAATAATTATTTGAACATAGATATTATAGTTTCTGAAAACTGCTAAAACATCTAACTTTGTAAAATTAATTTGACATAGTAAATCAGCTCCAAAAATCATGACATTTTGATAAAAGTTTCTAGACATGTAGATAAACATGTTAGGAAAAGAATTTTTTAAATTGCACTTTTCATTTTAGAGAAATAAATTATTTTGTAAACTAATAAAAAACTAAAAATCTAGAAACTGTAACAGGTCATTGGTAGACACATCAGTCGACACATCAGTCGACTGATCAGTCGACTGAAACAAAACAGAGAGAAATGAAGATTTTATGCATATTTATCAGTTAACTTATCAGTCGACTAAAATCATCAGTCGACTGATCAGTCAACTGATAACACACTACCAGCCTGTTTAAAACTAAAAAACTAATTTTTGAAGTGCCTTTAAAAATAGCAAATAAATTTCAAAAATTATGACTTTGAGAAATGTTTATAAACATATAGATGAACATGTTACAAAAAGAATTTTTGGAATTACACTTCACATTTGTAAAATATCATTATTTTGTAAAATAGTCCAAAATATAAAAACTAAACATACATGTTTTTATCATTTGACATAAACACAATATTAAAACTTTTGTAAAATAATTTTATAGACTTAATGAATTGATATAAAATATTTTTATGAATTGTTCATAAACAAATAATTCAATATTTTCACAAATATATTTTTGTATAAACTTGAAAACTATAAAACCAAAACATGTGTGTGTGTGTGTGTGTGTGTGTGTGTGTGTGTAAACCAATAAAATGTGTGTGTGTGTATAATTGAGCTTAAAGTACTAACACACATAATATAAAATCTAAAACTAGATATACCCAAGCTTGTAATCTTCAATGAAGCTCTTCTTGGTACACTTGCGGATGAAGCTTGAACTTGGATCTTTAACTTGAATTGTAAGGCTTCACTCCACAATTACGCTAACCTCCATTGGATATGATTGTGAATGCTCAATTCTATCCATCCTC